TTATTCCAGGGATGCAAGGATGGTTCAACATACATAAGTCAATAAATGTAATACATTATATTAACAAAGTCAAGGATAAAACACCATATGATCCTCTCGATAGATTCAGAAAAAGCATTTGACAAAATTCAACACCAAATCATGATAAAAACCCTGCAAAAAATTGGAATAGATGGTCTATACCTCAACTTAATAAAGGCTATCTATGAAAAACCAATAGCCAACATCATATTAAATGGCCAAAAACTGAAAACTTTCACATTAAAATCAGGAACAAGACAAGGATGCCCACTATCATCACTCCTCTTCGAAATAGTTCTGGAAACATTAGCCATAATAATTAGACAAGAGAAAGAAATTAAAGCAATAAAGATAGGAATGGAAGAAGTTAAACTGTCTTTATTTACTGATGATATGATACCCTACATTGAAGACCCAAAAAACTCTACCAAAAGACTTCTAGACTTAACTGACACTTTTAGTTGAGTAGCAGAATACAAGGTCAACACCCAAAAATCAATAGCCTTCTTGTAAACAAATAACAGACTCACTGAGAGAGAAATTAGGGAAACAATTCCCTTCACAATAGCATCCAAAAAAATGAAGCATCTAGGAATCACCCTAACAAAAGAAGCAAAAGACCTCTACACTGAAAACTACAGCACTCTGAAAAAAGAGATTGAAGAGGATATAAGAAAATGGAAAAATATCCCGTGCTCCTGGGTAGGAAGAATCAACATAGTGAAAATGGCCATACTACCAAAACTGCTATATACATTCAATTCAATGCCAATTGAAATTCCAACACTATATTTCACAGAACTAGAAAAAAGAATCCAAAAATTCATTTGAAACCAGAAGAGACCTAGAATAGCAAAAGCCATGCTAGGCAACAGACACATGGCAGGGGGTATAACAATTCCCAATTTGAAACTATACTACAAAGCCACTGTGATAAAAACAGCATGGTATTGGCAAAGAAACAGACCTGAGGATCAGTGGAACAGACTGGAAGAGACAAACATAACTCCAGATATATTCAGCTACCTCATCTTTGACAAAGGAGCTGACCATCCCCACTGGAGGAAAGATAGCCTCTTTAATAAGTGGTGTTGGAAAAACAAGGATTAAAACTAGACCCTTATCTCTCACCATGCACTAAATTAAAATCCAAGTGGATTAAAGATCTAAATATTAGAACAGAAACACTAAACTTGCTGGAAGATAAGTTGGGCAGAACTCTGGAAGACATTGGCATAGGAAAAGATTTTATGAACAAATCCTCAGTAGCACAAGAACTAGCAGAAAGAATCAACAACTGGAATTTCATCTTATGAAAAAGCTTCTGCACTGCAAAAGAAACCATCAGAAAAAACTAAGAGACAACCTACAATGTCGCAAAAACGTTTTACCAGCTTCTCCTCAGACAAAGGACTACTATCTAGAATATATAAAGAACTCAAAATGATCAGCCCCCCCAAAATATAAAGACCCGATTCAAAAATGGGCATCTGAAATGAACAGACATTTCTCAAAGGAGTAAAAACAGCAAGTAAATATATGAAAAAATGTTCCACATCACTGATCATTCGAGAGATGCAGATGAAAACAACACTGAGATTCCACCTCACCCCACAATGAATGGCTGCTATCAAGAAATCAACAAATAACAAATGTTTGTGGGGTGGTGGGGAGAAAGGAACCCTTCTCCATTGTTGGTGGGTGGGCAGACTGGTGCAACCACTATGGAAATCAATATGGAGATACCTCAGAAAGCTGGGACTAGAGGTTCCATTTGAACCAGCCATAGCTCAGCTGGGTATCTTTCTAAAAGAATTAAAAGAATCATATCACAGTGACATATGTGCACCTATGTTTATAGCAGCACAGTTTGTAATAGCTAAAATATGGAAACAGCCTATTTGCCCATCAGTTGGAAACTGGATAAAGAAGATGTGGTTTTCTATAAAATGGAATACTACTCAGCCATAAAGAATGATAAATTAGAGTCATTCATAGGAAAATGGATACATTTTGAGGATATACTCCTAAGTGAAATAAATAAGTCACACATGTGTAAATACCGAATAGTTTCTCTGGGATGCAAAACTATAATAGTACACAAGATCCTAATGAGATAATTAACAATGTGAAATAGGAAGAAAAGGGCTAAAGGTGTAGGGAAAGTGGGAATGGTAGGGGAAAGGGAATAGGGGAAAAGAAAAAATATGAGAAAATGAAGAAATGTAAATAAAGTGTTTGTAAATGGGGAGGGGAGGAGGGGGTGGAGAGAGGGCAGGAACAAGGGGAAAAAATGAGAATCAAGACCTGTCATGCAAAAGGTACAAAATTCCAGTAATGAATATAACTGTGCTGTATACCTAGAATGTACCAATAAACTCAATAAAAAGAAAAGTAGGCAAAGATTCTCTCTATGATGATACAAAAAGCACTTTTTCTAAATATTAGTATTGTGTTTATTGTTAAAATATGAGCAAATTCACCATTTACAAAGATTGTCAGTCATCAAAATTACTTGCCATTTTGAATTTTAAGCCATTTAATTGTAAAAGGTAGCACAAATAAAAAGGATTACTAAGAATTAAAATTTAAAAGTAAAATAATGGGTATAAAAATGCAGATAATATGATATTCTGTCTTTAAAACTAGAGAATGGGATCAAAACACAAGGCACATGTGATAGTTTAGCACAGGCAGGTTTTCACTCAGAAAACAAACACAAGTAATTATTGCGCCCCATTGTATAGCATTACCCAAGCACCAAATATCACTATAAAGTTTAAAACATTTCATCAAAGCACCTGAATTACATATTCTTTTGCACATTTTCTCCAACCAGATTTCCCCCTGTATGTAGGTTCCATCTTCCTGCTGACGTTGCATCCACAGCTTGGGCAAAGCTTCCTCTGTGAAGGGATTATTGTTCCAGCTCACTTCTGGAATCTTCATGCACATCTGTATACATCTTTCAACATCTCAAAATCTCAGTTTCCTCGTGTGAAGAGAACTTCTACATGGGGATGTATATTAAAGTAATGAAAAAAGCAGATAACCTGCCACATAAATATCAGCTCTTCCCACTGCAACCATTATTACAGATGACCACTTTTTCAAATTTCACATTTAAACATCTTACTAAAATATCTCCAAAAGAAACACAGCACAGATAATGTATGACAACAGGAGAATAAGAAAGTCTATTACAAACTTTAACTTGCACTTTCAAGGGAATTCTTTCTGAAAATAAGCCATGAATAAAATTCTTTTTTTTAATTTTTTTCCCCTCAAACTGGGAATTGAACACAAGGATTCCTCACTAAGCCTCACCACTTTTTAACATTTTTAAAAAAATTCAGACATGGTCTAATTAAGCCATAAATTTCCCTGGCTGGGCTCAAAGTTGTGATCCTCCTGCTTCAGCCTCCCAGAGTGCTAGGAATAAAAATTCTTCCATTCTAAAAATACAGGATTCTATCTTAATGAAGACTAAGCAACAATGATAACAAGACACATGACCCTGTTTCCCTCTTTGTGCTCTAATGCATAAATCTAAATTGTCTTAAATTTTTCACTGTTTTAGTAAATTATTTTTATTTCTACCAAGCAATAAATATTAATATTACATATAAGTAACTAAACTTCTCATGTTAATGGTATGATATTCACCATTAGCTACTCTAAAATTCTGTTCATATGAAAAGTTCATTGTTTTAGTCTATAGTAAAATCCAGGTACATGAGAAAATGAAGTATAACTAAAAAAAATTCTCCTAGTGTCATGGCCAACTAAAACACTCTCCTCAGGCATGATTCGCTGTTCTTGTATATTCACATTTAAATGCATTGTGGAATATACCAGAAAACACTGAAAACCAAAAATGATGTGGCCAGTGATTCATGCCTTTAACTGCAGAACTCCAGGAGACGAAGGCAGGAGGGCTGCAGGTTCAATTCCAACCTAGCCAACTTAATGACTTAGGGAGACCCTGCCTCAAAATTTAAAATTCAAAAATGTCTTTAATATAATCATACCCCAAGAATTCTTGAATTCATAACCAATAATGTAGATAGGATAACTGAAGTAAGCAGCTTCATAATTTGGATGATTTTTCAGCAATCTTCTTATGTATAGTTGAAAGTATACATTTAGAGTGATATTCAACACCTATTTTGCATTTCTAAAATTTTGGCAAATCGTGAGAAATTTTCTTTTCTATGGACAGTAATCATACCCCAAGAATTCTTGAATTCATAACCAATAATGTAGATAGGATAACTGAAGTAAGCAGCTTCATAATTTGGATGATTTTTCAGCAATCTTCTTATGTATAGTTGAAAGTATACATTTAGAGTGATATTCAACACCTATTTTGCATTTCTAAAATTTTGGCAAATCGTGAGAAATTTTCTTTTCTATGGACAGAAATATAGTAATACCTTGGTTCATGGACGCTTCTGTTCATGAGCGACTTAGTTCAAGAGCAGAAGTGTTTGGAACGATTTTGCTGCCATTAGTGAACTCCTCATTAGATGATGAACACAACCACAGCCGTCTTCCCCACACAAACATGAATGTGGCCATCATGGAACGAATTGAGTCCATGAACCTAGATGCCACTGTACAAAGTTTATTTTTAATAACTGTTTCATACCTATGCATATATATATATATATCCTGTATATTGCAGGTTTTTCATATTAAAATCTCTAAAAAGTTAATGATGACCCCCAGTTCCATCTATTATGTATCTGAACCCTTATATTTCAGCCTTGTATCTTGACATCCTTCTGTGTATACAAACACATATGCTTGTAAACATACTGCTAGCATGGTAAAGTGGTTAGGGCTTATCCCAACACATCTGTAAAATTCATAAATTAAATATAATGGAGGAATATTGGGAAACTACAAATTTATAACAAAAGAATTTCTCATGAATGAATCGTCCTCAAGAATATGCAAAATGACCCTGAAATGCTTTAAGGACCTGAAGATTCTGCACCTTTGGCCCGGCACCTCAGCCACCACAGCGCTGAAAGAGAGGCCTTTCTCAGCTTACTGTTTCCAAGAATCAGAAAAAGTGAGTGGCCTAAAAGAAAAGTAATTCCAATAGCATGTTCAAAAAACATGATGTGGGCTTTCTCTAGAAATTCAAAGCTTGAAATCTGCATGATGAAACAGAATAAGTAGGTGGTATAAAGTAGGATGAAGATGACCACAGTTTGCATGGCCTTCGTGTGGGCCATGGTGCGGGTATCTCTGGACCCCTTGGCATCATGCTGCATCCTCTTCAGATGCTTCCCCAGGGAGAAGACGAGCAGAAGACAAACTATCAAGGACACAATATAGGGTAGGAGCATGAACATAGAGTTGGTGAATAAAAGAAGTCTGGAAACCTGTACCGAGTTCTTCAAACTGGAATTGTAAGATACATTTCTTCTAGATCCATCAATCCAGGCATTAATTTTTATGTTTATAATTATAATACTGAAAAATAGGGGAACCAGAGACATCTGCAATGTCACTAAAACCACTTTTTTAACTTTCCACTTTAGATAAAGAAAAATAGAGTTAGAGAAATTGGCTATCTTGAGAAAATAAAAGATACTGAGGCATGTAGAAAGCCAGACGCTAAAATGATTAGTTACAACCCAGGTAATAAAAATGATTGCTGTGAACACTCGAGCAGTCTTCAGAAAATCTGGGTATGCTGCGTATAGCCATATGTATGTCTGTACTGAGCAGAGCAGAACAATTCTGGAGATCGCCAAGGTAGTGAGGATTTGATCAACTGGAGATATCTTCCTTCTCTTGACCCAGTCTGTGAAGTTCAACAGAACTATAAAGCCATTTCCTACAATTCCAGTTATGGATTCCACAGTTAAAACAACTGTAAAGATGCTCTTTAAATCACCAGCCATTTTCTGGGAGAGAATGCAGCAATTTCATGTATCACTGCTGAAAATTTATTACTGTAGTAGTTGAAAAGGCTTTGTGTATTTAATTTTAGAAAATTCAAAAATATTCTCCCTTTACAAACTCATGTATACAATGCCAATCCAGGAACCATCAAGATTACCTAACGACTGCATTCACATTTTCTTCATAAAAATCATGTGTCTTTCCAGACAGCCTAACCGAGTTTGATCCAGAACCTCTCTGACTTGCACACAACAGCACAGAGTCTTTTGTAGTTGATGAGGAAGGCAATGCTGGAATCTCATTTGCTAACATGCAAGTAAAGATATATTTATTTGCATAGTTTTCAGTTTTTGCCTAATCTCTGTGTTTCAGTCTGGCAACGTAACTTCTGAGCAAATAGTATGAAATTATAAGGCAAACACTCAACCACAAAATATAAATTTGTATATGGATTATCGTAAATCCTGAGGATTTATAAAAAGTTACTTTAGGTGTAAGAGAAGCCTATGAGTATACTCCACTTCCTAAAAAATATCAAGGTCATATAATAATATCTTAGACATTATTATTACTAAAATATTGGGTACCAAGGATAATACTTGTACTTTTACTTTTTAATAGGATCTGGGCACACATATACACACACTTATGTGATTCTATTTCCCTTCCCTATCCACACCAAATAATCAAATAATCAGATTTTTCACTGATTCCACATTTACTATGAATCTGACACATATTTAGTATTCATAGGTATTAACACATCATTTCAAAAATACTTCTAAGTTAATAATATGTGTTAAGTATAAATATTCATTTAACTTTGAAGATGTTTTCCTGTGTAAATGAATAAGGTAGAAATCCTTCTGTGGCAACCATAAGCAGTCACTGAAATGAATGAGTTTAGCCACACAGGAAGAATTCTTTGCCTCTACCTCGCCCAGAAAGGCACATTGCCCTGTCAGAACTAGAGATCTTCAGAATTTATCCCCCTTCTCCCATTTCCTATCACTACAACCAATAAGATAGACAAAGGATTATAGTCTTGCTTTGTCATGTTGGGGAACAAGGAGTACAAAAGGATTGCTGTTTCTCAATAGCTAAAGAGTAGAAAAAGACCAAGCACCAAAACACAGCAAATGCTACTGTAAAGAGCAGATAAACATTATCATATATTTCAGAGATGGTACAAAACAATAAGAGGTATTGACTATAGAGAACTGATCATATGCTTACTCTCCTGACAACAGTTAGCAAACAAGATTAACCCACTATCTTACCATCAGTGTAGAAACAGGCAGCCCCTTTCTCAGCTTTCCAGCACTGTGACCAGCCGATATAATCAAAGGGAGGAAAGACTTCATTTGTCTCACAGGCACAGAAGTTTCAGTCCATGACCAATTGGATCCATTCCTTTGGGTCTCTGATAGGACAAAATACCATGGCAGGGAATGTGTGGTAGAACAAGGCTGTTTTAGGGTCACAAAGCAAAGAAAAGAAAAAAATGGATGGGGTTCCAACAACCCCTAGGAGGATGTGCCTCCCGTGAACTGACTGCCCGCCACTTAGTCTTACCTTCTAAAGATTTGAAAAGGTTTCATTTATGCCATGAGCTACTGATCAATCCTTCAACATAGGGCCTTTGGTGGACATTTAGGATCAAATCATATCCATTCCTCTGGCCTCTGCCAGTCCAGGAAGCAAAGAGCTCTGCAAAAAGAAGGAGCTCTGCAAAGGACACAAAGTGAAATGCAAAACAACCCTGGGGTGGGGCTGTGTGGAGTGAGAACTGGTGCTGGAACTTGGTGGGCTCTTAAAGAGACAGAAACTGAGCTCCCAGTAAAGGCCACACACAGCCCTAAGGAGCTCTTCCTGAGATCTGCTGGTGCACCTGGCACTCTGGACTGGAAATGCTTTAGACTTCCACCTGAATGACAGCTCCTAGGGAAAGACGTTCTTCCCAGACTTGGTGAGAATGGCATCAAGGAAAATTCTCAAAAATTACATGCAGAAAACAAATGAGTCTCTTACAGTGGAGCAGTGTTTGTACTCATTTTCATGGTAATGATACACCTAGCTGTATTTAAATGAAGTTCGTGTACTTTCTATCTTTTAATTTGTGACAAGTTTTATACACTGTGTATTCAGGTGTAAATAATCAAAATCTCCATGAGTCAAACCTAAGGTCGTCTGTGTACCTCTCCGTTTAGTTCATTATGTGCAATATAATATGTCTATAAACTTTATTCTCACTATTAATTATTAATCATTATTGTTGAAAGGTACTAATTCTCATCATTTTGTTTTTTTCTAATCTTTGATTCATTTCTTTTTTCATTCATTTATCTACTCTCCCAGTGAGATTTGTCTTTCCCTCAGCCACATGATTATTGCTGACTACTTGGTCTGTTTTTAGGAATTCCTTAAGCATTTTCTACAGGGTTTAAGGAATTTATAGTCATAACTTTTTTAGTTTATACTTATCATGGAGGCCTTAATTTCTCTTTCAACTTTAAAGGCTAACCTTCTGCAAGACAACAATTATTGAAAAACTGACAATTATTTTCTTTCAGCTCTTGAAAAATTTTCTCTTAGCATCGTACCCCTTAAGGCTTCTATAGAGAAATCCATTTGTTATACTGACAATTTTTGCCCTTACAAATGATTTTGTGATTCTCTCTAAGAGCTTTTAATATTCTTTATTTTGTTTTGAATTTTTGGCATTTTGACTATGCTGTGTTATGGTTGCATTCTTTTCTGGTTGTGTCTGTTGGGGGTACTTTTATACCCTAGTCATTCCTTGGTATTGGGAAATTTTCTGCAATAATTCTAGTGCATAAATATTCTGTGCCAGTAGACTGTATTTTCTCACATTCTTCTAATCCAATAAATCCTAAATCTTTTCTTTTAGATTTACCCAATTGCTCTTGAAAAATCTGCTTACAATTTCTTATTCTTTTTTTTTTTGTACTGTATGAATGTTTTAGCATACCCACCTTGTTTTCAAGTGGCTTCTTCTGATTAATCTTTTCCATCACTGAGACTTTTGATTTTTTTATTAGACATATTGAGATTTTCAATTTCAAGATTTCTGCATGGTCCTTCTTCAAAACCTCTATGTGTCACCATGCTTAGGGATGCTCTGTCACCAGTCAAAACAATGTCACACACTAAAATTAAAGATTAAACATTATCAACTCCAAGGTACATTTATAAGCCAATGTGTGTGTTTTTTTAGATGGCATCCTACTAAAGGATAACAAGAATTAAGTAAGAATTTTCTTTATGTCATTTAATATCTCATGATCAGATGGAGGTATTTGACTGAAAGATTATTCCATACTAAAATGGACATTGTTACAATGATCGTCATGCTAAAATACTATATGTGGCTCTTGACCTCAAGTTTCTATAATATATAACTCTTGTCAACATTCTGCAGGGATTAAATTACTAGAACAACCATGGCTGATAAGAAATAACAACCTCCTACCTATGCTTTATATTTCAAAGTGCTTAATGTTCAGGCAAAATTATAATAGGCAAGCTCACTGCTCCTACTACACTACTAATGTCACTGATCTTCTCTTCTGGATATTCAACAATTAAAGTTTGGACACCAAAACTAGAATGGTAACTAGGCTAAGAAGACAGTCAATATTTTGGCCCTGGTCACTCAAGGTCAACAAGAATCCAGGACATGAGGGAACCTTTTCTACAGAATCCTACATCTTTGGTAAGTCACACAACCTCCTGAGCAGGGAGATTACTGGGCACCAGAGGACAAGTACACTGTGTGCTTGCAAAGGAGGGTCACCATGGGGAAAAGTCTCCCATGCTTTCACTGAAAGCAACATAGTCAAGCAAGGCCACAACCCAGCCTGATGGGTGACACTGACAGAGGAGCTGAAAGGCTCTATGTATGGTTCCAAAATAATGCCTGAAGAGACTTTACTGACCTTGATACATAGCAAGAGGTTCATGTTGATTGACACAGGTCTCACTTTAACTTGGTCTTAAACACCCAGAAGAAAGGAATAACCAAAAGAGGTATAAAATAATGCCACAGTAATAAAGCTAGATATAAAAAGAGTCTCTAGTCACTAACCCCTTCTGACGATTTCCAGCTCTACCAATAGTTGACCATGCTTATGGATCATTAGGAAAAAAAAAAAAACTATGGTAAAATCTATAAGAACTCAGCTAGAAATTTATTTCTTAGTGAAAATTGTACTTCAGATTGTCTCATCTTCTTACAGCTAAAATTAGAGAGACTTATGACAAAGTATCAGACTTATAAATAACCTATCAATGAAAGAATCTAAGTCCAGCAGGTTCAATCACTATTTCAATTTCTAAGTGTGACTCTCTCCCCTACCTGCCCTTTCATTCTAGTGTGCTCATGCTTAGATTATGCATACTCTAATTTGTTAAAAGTTGTTTATTCTTAACTAGAGGCTGCCAAACTCCAAGCAGTCATACAAATAGAACCATGACAAATGTGCTAGACTTTTTTTACTGGGATCTACCAGATCAACTTAGAAGCATCTCATAACTGCTAAACTATACAGCATGGCTTCTATGTTGGATTCTGAAGTGCTCTGGGCCTTCTCCTTATCCTCTGTGGGCTATATTCATAGTAATCCTGCTGACCTTATAATTTGGCCCATGCATTCTTAACTGTTTCTTTGGCTTTGTCTCCTTCAGGCTTAAAAGCTATGCAGCGACCAAGATGACAATACCAGGCACCTACCGAAGGCCTTCAGATAGACCCTCTGATCACAACTACGACCCTCTTGAGCTGGAAGTAGCCAGAGCTGTCTTTGCCCTTTTCCCCCTTACAGTGGTTAGGGGTGTTATTGTAGGTAGGTAAGTGAATTAGATATCTTATAGTCAGTTAGACAGGGCTGCCCTCAAGGAGCCAACACAGCAAGGAGCCAACATAAAGGACAATCAAGACACATTCACTGAAGGCCAGAATTTTAAAAGGAGAGAAACTACTATACCTTTGTGCTTCCCCTGGTGATAAATAGCAGTGACTGATACTCTAAATAGTATGAATATAGTCAGATTAGAAAGGTGTACAGTGTCCCTCAGTTTGATCTTTTTTACTTTTCCTCCATATTCTTATATCTTTGTGATCTCACGCTTACTACAAAAAACATTTTTTTAAACCATCAACTCCCTAAAGTATCATTGACATGACACTCATCTCTCTTCTTTCAGTGAAAAAAAGTAAGGTTGGAGAAATTGGCTATTTTCAGCAAATAAAATACGTTGCAATTAGCAGCAAGCCAGGTGCTGAATTGTTTGGTCCAGAAAAAAAAAAGTAACAATAATCCTTACTTGTCTGTTGTGGCAATCCAGATGAATCACTAGTTTTTAACTGTCCCAAAGCAAAGCAAGCCTAGAGACAACTAGAACAGAGAGAATTCCATCTGCTGCTCTAGACATATTGCCTCAGAGTTGGACAGTATAATTCACTGGTGCGTTGAATACCTTGACAAAAAAACCACAAATCTGTGGATATGATGTTTAGTAGCAAACATAAGTCAGAAGGAGCAAAAGCGAAGTTGAAGATTCCTGGTTGTGATTTCTTTCCACCAACACCTAATTACTGAATCCTATTGTCTTTTTGTTTTTGTGACCCATAAAATGCAGGAAAGCTCTATGGTATGCTGAAAAATGAGTTAAAAGGTGCTTTTGCATAGTACACTGTTATTCCAAAACCAGCTCAAAATAAGTCTTATCCATATACTACATGTTTTTATCAAACTGGCTTCTTTCATAGCAGATGTTGGGGAAAGTTGAATTCTGATTTGCTAGCATGTGAAAGAAGCCATAGTCTCTTGCATCATTTTGTACATTTCTGCCTTGTCTAACCTCTCTATAAATTGCATTCCCAGTTTAACCATCACCTAATAAAACTGTAAAATCTAATACACAGGTTATACAGAAATATCTAATTCGACAGAAGACTCTCAGCCCTTTACTGATTCATGATCACTGAGGAGTTGTTTGTTCAAGAATCCTAGTGTGATCCAGATTATTCTTCTATATTGCACCGTAATGAAATTCCACTATGTACACAGGAGCTATGACTTCATAAATGGCCACCAAGTGTCTGTAAGGGAAAAGGGCAGAGATAGTGAGTGGTTCTGGTTTGGGTAACCCTGACAAAGGGATAATAGAAGATAGGACAAAGCTGTGAAGATTAACTGCCTCACCTCTCTCTCTTGCATGACTCGTGGTACACTTGCTTCCCCTGGACACTCCTGGAAAAGTCCAGGGGTCTAATTGACCACCATGCCGCCTCTAAGCTCATTGTGAAATTACAGACAGAGAAGCACAAATCACATCACATTGCCCCAAAGGTTTTGGTCCCGTTTTCATGTGCCTTCCCTATTTCTGCCCTACATCTGACTTCAAAACCAAATATTGTCTCTTTAATTCCTGATATTGGAGTATTATAGTTCTGAAGAATTCAGTTATTATGCGAGGCTGTATACTTTATTCCTATAACTTCCACTAATGATTATCTCAATACACATTCTTATATTTACACATTTTGCACAAGAGAATACTAACCTGATCTTTAAGAAATTCTGTATATTTGATCTTAAGGATTGGTAGATATACTTTGAATGATTGAAGAAAGTTTATTAAATTATACATAATGAATTCTGTACTATTTTTGCAGTGAGAAAATTTTTAAGATAGGTAACATTACAGTCTTCATGGGCTAAATTTGGAAGGAACTTTAAAAAGGAAAATAAGGAAATGACTGGTCATTCAGAGGCTCCGGTATTGTTTAAGAAAAATATATTTAGAATTAGGTCTCAACTTCAAAAAAGCGCTTTCTTATTTCAAGAAGTACAAAATATGTGTTATCTGATTTATTCCTTATAACATGAAATTCTAGAAATGATCACAGTCCTGCTTTTTTCATCCTTTACTATGGATACAATCTTTTCCTAAGGTTTTCATCCACTTGTGCTCCATTTAATACCCTTCTCTACTCTTTATTCATACTCACATGCAAAATTTACTATAAATATGTTTGTTGCTCTAGAATTTTATTGTTTGCATATCTGAAAATAGCAGTCATATTACTCTCCCTAAAACATGAAAAAATAAGTTTTGAATGAATAAAGTCAACCTCAAATATACATCTTTGATGTTATCTAGAATTTAATATTCTCAACATCCAAAAAATTGGAAGATCAGATATTGAAATCTTAACACATTTAAATACATTTATGTGGTACAAAGAAGAATGGAAAAATAACAGTTATTTCTCAAGATAAGATTACATTTCCTCATAAGACATAAATATAAATCTTATATTCTTCCAATAGAGGATAACATAGAATATATATGTGATATACATTTGGCTTCACAATTCTAACAAGCTTCCTAATATATTTAGTATCTATAGGTTGGAATTAAAAATAGTGAAGTACATTATTGGCAATACTTATATTTTCTATATGTGTACTCAACATAATGCATATATCATTTTATTTAATAAGCTCAACTAACAGTTTCTATAAATATCTTTAGAAATTACTCAACCACATTATGAAAAGAAGCACAAGTTGTCACACAGTCCAGCAGTTCGACTCCTGTTAAAAGTCACACTATGCCCTATAATTGATCTATAATTGTAAAGGCTCCAGTTCTTTCAGCCAGCACTTTGCCTGCCTCAGAACTAACAGAAATGCCTGTTTCAGCTTTTTGTTAGCCCATATGAGGACACACGAATGGCCCAAAGGGTATAAAATTTCAGTAGCCAGGGAAAACAAATAGACTGGTTTGTTCCACGAATATTCCAACCACCAATCTGATGTGATTACAGACAGAGAGTACATGGCGTATAACATGACAAAGGAGGCTGCAGTCTGCAAGACTTTTACGTGGACCTTGGTGCTGGGATCTTGGGATCCTTTGCCATACAGCTGCATTTTCCTGAGATGACTTCTCAGGGAGGAGATTAACAGCAGAACACAGATCAAGCATGTGAGAAAGGGTAGGAGGTTCACTAATGTGAATATAGTCCTCTTGGAACTGTGTATAGCATCCTTCAGTTTGAGCTTCCAAGTCACATTCCCCAAATATCCTTTCACCTCCATAGTGTCATACACAAGTGTTACTGTAAGATCGAAAGGCAGCAACACCAAAGTCCCCAGCACAGTCACTGGACTGACTCTGTTAACTTTCCTCTTTAGGTAAAGAAAAATAAAGTTGGAGAAATTAGTTATTTTGAGAACATAAAATATACTGAGGGCAGTGGCAAGCCAGCTGCCAAAATGGTTGCTTACTGACCAGAAAATCCGCAAAGTAATTCTTACTTTACTATAGGCAGTTTGATGAAACACAATTAAAAACCAATTTGCTATTAGTGTACAAATCAAACCAACCCTGGAGATGGCTAGAGCAGTAAGAATCTGATCAGTGGAAGAAATCCTTCTTCTCTTCACCCAGTCAGTGCAGTTCACCAGCGCTATGAACATATTGGCAAAATTTCCAATGACAAATTCTGCCATTATCATGATGATCAAAATGTTGCATAGTAAACTTATCATGTCTAAAGAAGCAGAAACAAAAATCCAAATGTAAAATCACTTATCTTGATTCCTTTGACATATTTATTGACTTTGAACTCCCTGGGCCCTCAGTTTCTTTTCCTTCTCAGTTCTGTGACTACTGTCAAGGAGAAAAGCATCCAAGTTTGAATGCAGTGGATGATTTCAGTGCTGCCTTTATGGAAAACAGCGCTCTCCCAACAGCTTGAATGAACGTGTTTATTCCACTTTGCATGGCTGCTGTGTTTCATAACTGATATTAAAGTGGAAACTCAGTTCTCAGGCGGAAGTATGCAAATAGAGGCATATCGTCTTCCTCTGCTTTGCAATTTTTCCTTGTTTGACCTGTCTAGAGTTTATTTTCTTGTTGGTATACTTTTTGACTATCTAAGAATTAATGTTTATTTTAAAATATTAGGAGTGTACTGTGTTCATTGTAATACTAGCCAATAAGTGTCGATGCTTTCTTTGTTCTACACATTATGCTAAGCAGTTTACTGTTTTAGTTTACTAATTTTTACAAAAACCCCATGGAGTCAATATGCCATTATACTCTCCATCCTACTTTCAAGCTGTCTTTCTTCTCCACATTTCACATATGATAGAAAACATGCAACACTTGTATTTCTCAGCCTGGCCTATTTCTCTTTATGACTGAAAATACTCCATATATATTCCATAAACCACACTTCTGTTATCCACACATCCATTGGTTGGCAGCTGGCTTGATTTCATAGCTTGGCTGTTGTTAATTTTGCCAGATAAACATGGGTATTGAGATTATACCTGTGGTATAATAACCTTAATTCACTCCGATACATACAACAGAGTAGTGTAACTGGACAATATGATATTCCCATTTGAGTTTTCTAAGAAACCTCCAAAATGATTTCCATACTTGCTATACTCATTTCTAGTGCCACCAACGTATGTTTCTCTTTTTTCTTGTATCTTCACCAGCCCTTAGTATTTTTTCTGTTTTTCATGAAGCCATTCCAACTGAAGCAAGGGGTAACCTCAAGATAGTTGTAGTTTTCATTTCCTTGCTGGCTAAAGATGCTGAACACTTTTTACATCATTATTTGTTATTTACATTTATTATAAGAAGTTTCTGTTGGTGCCATTGGCCCATTTATTGACTGGGTACTGTTATTTCCATTTAAATGGCTATAGATTTGTTGTATTCAGCCTTTATTACATGGAGATAAGAACCTTCTATACCTATTTTCTTCAGTTTTTATATCATGAATGGTTTCATGTATTTTTTTATATGGTACATTGCCTTTAATGATTTGTATATGTTTAATCCTCTTTGCATTCCTGGAATGAAACCAACATGAGTATGTCATACACTCTTTTTAATGTATTGTGGAATTTGTTCTCAAGAAATGTATTGAGTACTTTTAATCTATATTCATTAATTATATTGGTCCCTAGTTTTATTTTTTACTGAAGTTTCATGAAGATTTGGTGTCTATGCCGGGAGGAGTAATGAGTTTGGAAGCTTTCATTCCCTCTCTCTGTCATAGAATAGCTTGAGGAGCACTGGTGTTAGTTCTTTAACAGTTTTGTGTCTACAGAGAATTCATTCAAGCCTGGAATTTTCTTCCTTAGGAAATTTTTTATTTATGCTTCAATCTTATTGTTTGTGGAGAATTTGTATCCTCTTGGTTAAATTTTATAGGTCATATGTGTCCAGAAATTTTTTACATTTCTTCCTGATTTTCCACTACACTGCAATACGAGTTTTCAAATAGTCCATAATAATCCTCTGTTTTCAGCAGGTGTTGTAATGTCCCTTTTCCTGTCCCTAACTTCAGGAATTTGTGTCTCTTCTCTCTTCTGGTGAGTTTGGCTGATAGTTTACCAATCTTTTGTATCTTTGCAAAAGACCAATTCTTGGTTTCATTTATCCTTTTCATTATCCTTTTAGTCTCTAAATCATTAATTCCACTCTAGTCTTCATTTTTTCTTCTATAAGTTTGGGAGTTCATTTATTTTTTTTTTTGAGGCCTTGAAATGCATCATTAGGTTATTTATTTGAACTGTGTCTGTTGTTTAGTGTAGGCACTTATAGTCTTAAGCTCCCCCTTTGAACTGCCTTCCCAATCGCCCATATTTTCTGGTAGGTTGTGTTTCCATTTTTGCTTGATTCTGGGAATGTTTTTAATTTATCCCTTGATTTCTTTCATGACTCACTGATTATTTAAAAATATATATTTTTGCCTCCCAAGAGTTTGTGTATTTGTAGATTATTTTTTGTTGGTTTCTAATTTCATTCCATTATGATCTGATAAAACACAGGCAGTTGTTCCAATTTATTTAATTGTTAAACTTGCTTTGGGGCTGGAAATGTGAACTATTTTAGAGAAAGTTCCATGAGCAGCTGAAAAGAATGTGGATTATATGGATGTTGTATCAAAAAGTCTCTCACTGTCTATCATGTCCAAATCATAGTAAAATTTAGTATTTCTTTCATGCTTTTGTGGCTGGATAACCTATCTTTTGCTGATGACTTACTGTCACATTATTATTGCATTGGGCCTATTTCCCTCTATATTCAGTAGTGCTTGTTTTATGAAATTTGATGCACCAATGTTCCATGCACATATATTTTCAATTGTTACAGCTTCTTGATTAATTAGCCCTCAACTGTGTAGTGAATTTTGTCCCCTATGACAAACTTTAGCTTGAAGTCTTCTCTGGTGGATATAACTACTGCCACTTGCTCAATTTCCAGTAGGCTGAATTATTATTTGCCTTTATTTTTAACTTGTGCATTTCTTTGTGGATGAGGAATATTTCTTGCAGATACTAAGAAGTTGTGTCTTTTTTATATCCAATCCCCCAGCCTGTGTCCTTTAAGTGGAGAATTAAGACCATTTACTGACCTACAGACTTGAAGGTTTCTGACCTTTCAGCCAACAGCTCACCTCCTTTAGAGCCAACAGAAAGACCTGTTTCAGCTTCTCATCTTCACAAATCTGGACAAAGTGATGTCTCAAATGATAGACAATGCCAGTAGCCAGGCACAGCAGGTGGACCAGTGAATGAAGGAGCATATGAAAAACCAAACCTTATAAAATGAATTACCAAGAGTTCATGGCAAATAGTAAGAGAAAGAACGTTACAGTTTCAAGGCCTTCACATGGACCTTGGTGCTAGGATCCTTCATGTTGCAGGTAGATCTTCCAGAGTTGTTTACACTGGCGGGAGATGAACAGTAGAAAACAGATCACGAGGTAATAAAGTGTATGTAGTCCGCACAAACATGTCTGAACGTTTCACAAGGTCCCTCAATTCTATCTTCCCACTCATATTTCTTTCATATTCATTCACTCTCATGATCTCATCTATCCACCACAGGCTAAAAGAAAACCACTAACATTCCTAGCAGTATCACTAGAAAGACAGTCTTGTCTTATTTCATTAGGTGAAAATAAAGAGGTTGGGGAAAACTGACAATTTTGACCAAATAAAATATGCTGAAGCTAGTAACAAGCTAGGTGCAAAATAGGTTACTGTCCAGACATTAAGTGCAAAAATTTTTACTTGTGCACTCTATGAATCTGAATTAATCCCAGTTTTATACCAGTGTATTCACTTTCCCAAACCAAAGCACTTTAGGAGACACCCAAAAAACAGAATTCAATAAGCAGGGAAGATATTTAGCCTCCTGAACCAGTCAGCAGAGTTCATCAGAAGTATGAAGACTGTGGCAAGATTTCCAAAAACAAATTCTGTCTTGACTTTGATGGATATGACATTCATTCATAAATTTACAAAGTCTGAATTTTTTAAAAAATCCAAGTCTAATATCACCAGTTGTGATTTGTAAACTCCGTGCTGAAAGTTCTACCAAAATGTGATTTCTGAAAGCCCAGCACAGTCCGTATGTCTTTTTACATTCTGTAAAAACTAAAGTGAACAGGAAAGCATGAAAGCATGCCAAAACTTGAGTTCAAAGATTTTCTCATGGAAAACAACATCATTTCCAAAACAGCTCAAAATAACTCCTATCCGTGAACTTTGTATCTTCATCATAGGCCGCAATATTTTGTAGCTGATAGAGGAATGAAAGCTGAGTTCTCATTTGCAAGCTTGCAAATAAAGACATATTCTCTTTCGTTGTTTGGCAGATCTTTGCCTTGTCTAACCTCTGTGTAACTCCGTTCATCAAATTTGGATGTCAGCTAGTAAAATTTTAAAACCTGATACACGGAGTATGCAGGAAATGTCTAAATTGATTGATGCAACTTGGTTATGTGTAGACAATCGGAAAGGTTCAACTTCACTCAGGATTTAAACTGACAAAATCTTTGGTTTTAAAGAAATCATCCATATCTGCCAAGTTTTTCTTTCAGAATCTTTTCTGTTTTTCTACAAACTTCAGGAAAGCTAATATTTCCTACATTTTGGTGCTAATTTCTACATAGGCATAGATTTATTATTCCAGGCCATAAAAAAGTCACACACTCAGGAATACTACCTCAATCACACACACACACACACACACACACACACACACACACACACACACACCACTTCATTTGGTGCAGAAAACATTGTAAGTATTGGTAAGCCATGAATTACATACTGTAATGTTGGTTTCTAAATCACTAAGACTTGAAGTTATTGAAATTTGAATTCCTTTCTTTCACACTCAGGCATCATAGAATATCCCTCATTCTCAGATATCTTACAAAGGTTTCTCACTTCACTCAGTATAATATTTAATTGTTCAATTTTTAAAAATATTCATAAAGTTCACTGTGATTTTCATTGTTATAGCATTGGATACAAAGATCGGAGCACAGTAACCATGTTACAAAATTAATTTCATTTGGCCAATAATATGGTGCATATTGCATTTGTGAGTTTTTTAGGAGTTTTCAATACAGTATAACAAATGTCTCAATGCCATATAATGTATGGATTTTATTTCCAAATACTTTCTAGCTTTCATTGCTACTATGAAAGTGTCCAGTATTAAAAGTCAT